AATAGATGCACTTAAGTTTCAGCTATTCACTCAGAACCAAGCCTTGGCTTCCACCGTGCCGCTTCACGTTGTTTTTCTCACAACGTCAAACTATTTTCCCGTTTTTTCCTCGACATATTGACTCCTGTACTGCGTTGCATGCGTACATCAAGTAATCGTTTCATTTTACAGAAATCAAGTAATCCTTGATTTGTCAAATGTAATTTGGCTTATGCAAAAGCTAATGATTGACATCTGCACTCAAGAAGATCCTTTTCACAAAAAAATTACGGAGTATTTTAATATAATGCAGTTGAACAACGTCTTTCGCTCTTTATTTTGTTGAAAGTTTCATGTTAATATCTTCAGAGACTTAAACTGTCACTCCATTGTCCCATCACTTTCATTTAACAATCATTCAGTCAGTTTCTGTTACCACTTCTTTTGTGTCACTGAGGCAGACACATCAGACAGTGATTCCATCGTTTCTGATCCTGTGCCAGCGTTTGAGCTTCGGCAGAAGATAATCGAAGTTTAGATTTAGAGCAGTATCCAACGATACATTTGCCCAGGTTAATCTTTGTCGTCTCCGAGGTCAACCGCCAGTCAATTGGGCAAGTAGCAGTTGCTTCGCTTTCCTTTCTGGAGGCATTCGCAACACGTCCTAATCATCGCAGCGGTGACTTCTCAATCTAAAGAAGCAGCGGCTGCATACGATCCATTTCGAGACGCGTCTGGAAAAGCCAACGACTAGTTTCAGAATGCCCATTTCTGCTGCTTGTACCCGAGATCGAAGTTCTTCAGTTATGGTTCATGACTCATGACTATAGGTAAGCATGAGGATAAATATTGATTTTAATACCCAGAGCGTAGTCTTCAGACTGAGCTCTGCTTTAGTCACAGTGGATCGCGAAAGTTCGCGCAGAACGACACTGGCCGGCCTCTCCCATCCTCATGTGGATTTCCTCCCCAAATTTTCCATCTCTAGCAGGTACAACTCCGAGGTACTTCTCCACCTGCTCCACTGCCTCTCCGTTAATCTGAAGAGTGCAGCGGGCAAGAGAACGAGAAAAGTACTAGGCTTTTCGTTTTAGATGCGTTCACACGCATTGCGCACTTGGCTGCGAACCTTTCCAGCGAGCCTTGTAGATGAGTATCAAAAGATGCCAACAAAACAAGGTCGTTTGAAAACAGTAACTGTTTCGTCATGACATCCCCTACGCTCATCGCCTTGGCTGTGCTTGATTATTCTATGCATGTACAACAAACAGGAGAGGTGACGTAACGTTTCATTTAACAACTCTTTGTTATTGTTATCCTCAGTTTGTTTTCAGACATGCTAGATCCCTGATCTGGTCCTATGCAAGCTTTAGACACGTTGGATCATCAGAGCGATAGACCACATATCCATGCATTCGAAATGCGTTACTAACGGCTGCTACCAATTTGCTGTAGTAATCTGCTAACTACGAATAGGTCTTGAGAGCAGCTTTGCGGAACTGAAGCAAAATTACGATCGTTAACCATTCCATAGAAGGAACGATGACCTTCTGTAGTAATGACACCATGCAGTCAGTAATTTATTGGACAGTGAACAAAACTAAACTTCATTCGCATCACAAAGATCAGTCAATAGTGGAATACGTTCTCCCTCCGGAACAGCGATTAACACTGTTGTAAAGCTTTAATCGCGTTGCTATAGTAAATATTTTCTTGTTTTTTGAATCGGTTTACAATTTATTTGCTTTCTTTTCGACTCGTTGTCATAAGAAACATTCGTCCATTATGTAATCGTTTAATAACGCATTACTACATTTTCTTGAAAATAACAGGATTTTAAAAAACAGTTTTTCCGTATATGACTTTTTTATAGGACTACTGGATCACATCAAGGTCACAGAGGAGCTACCGCAAAAATCGAATCATATTATCATTGTTATGACGAGTGACCGCGGTCTTTGTGGAGCTGTTCATTCTAACATTATCAAGATGGTCAAAGCCGACTTACTGTTACACAAGGATAAATTCATTCCGAAAATTGTGTGTATCGGAGAAAAGTCGAAAATCGTGCTTACCCGGTACGGTTTTTTCTCAGATTTCTTATCGTACTTTTTTGAACTCTGTGAGCGGTAGATTTGATTGTCGTTGTTCGCCTCAGACTTGATGAACGTTTCAAGTTTAGTACACTAGTGCGTTGTCAACCATTCTACATATATCATATTAACACAAGAAAATGACGGTGACAAAAGGCTTCATAATCCGCTCAAAGCATGAAGCATAGGCGATGAGATTTGCCGTTTAAATCTACAGAAGTAAAAATGCAGATTTCGTTTGTGATTAGATTCTGTTCTGCGCATTTGGGGTCTAAGGCTGAACGACTTATTTCCCTCACCGCAAATTGCATTTTCAAGGTATCATTTCAATTATAAGATAAACATAGAATGAATTCCTATTCTCCCATACGGAGGATATTTCGTCATCATTTAATGGCTATGCAGAGCCTACTAGCTGTGGCCTGCTACAAATTTATTATATCTAAAATTTTTCGCTGTCATGATGGTATTGCTTTCTGATGTTTATTTGTGGCATTTTCATGATTTTCAGATGGTCCAAGCCGGTGATTATTGACTTTTATATTAGGCTATAGAAATGTCATTTGCATTATTTTTTATTAAATTTTAGCTTATGTCCTGAGCACATCCTGTTCACTGTGAATGAAATTGGCAGAGTACCACCAACATTCTCAGATGCACGGCGGATAACAGACCACATTTTGAACAGCGGCTTTGCATTCACCCAGGGCAACATCTATTATAACCGTTTCAGGTGAAGTTTTGATTCATTTTACTTGACTTCTGCTGACTTGCAGCGTTTGAAGGTCAGTCGTTTCGTACAAGTCGACGAGACAACCGGTTTTCAGCACGCCTGTGATCGTCAACACACCTTCGTTCAGCGTCTATGACTCGGTCGATGACAGCACGTTCGAAAGTTTCTTCGAGTACAACTTAGCATCGATGCTTTACTATGCGATGAAAGAGAATGCTTGTTCAGAGCAGAGCTCTCGTATGACGGCCATGGACTCCGCCAGCAAGAACGCAGGTCTGTTAAAATACCCTCGTTTGTGCGTGTTTGCACACTGTACAACTGCCTGTTTAGGAGAAATGATCGCCCGCCTCAGCCTTCATTACAATCGCACCAGGCAAGCGGTCATCACCAGGGAATTAATAGATATCGTTATCGGAGCATCAGCACTCTAACGCCGTTTTTGCTGGTACTGTAAAGAAGTTCAAACTCATTTTTTCTTGTATAATTATGTTCAGTAATGAATTTGCCATTCTCAGCCGTGGTATCTGCTTTAGAACGTAGTGGTTTAAAGTATATTGGTTTTCCATGTATTTTTATTATGACAAAATGTTTGGTTCGAATTATTTGTAAGGCTACCTTCTTGAAAGGCAATTTAAGAAGTAAATTTGATGCTAGCACAGCACTCGCTGGTAACCGGATCTTAGCTGGTTGCAACATTTGGTGCAATGCATGGTGCAACATTTGCAAAATACTATCTGCCATCAACGATGGCAGCTAAGGGGCAAGGAGACACGGTAAAGCTGCGGCATAGACTTGGAAAGACTATCGGTAATAGTTAATCACATTTAACAGCATAAAGCGGTTTATTTATACAAAACGCCTAGACCTTCAAGCTAGAACTGAGTCAGCTTTTGAAATTGTTAGCGTTCTTACATTTGGAGCTCGAAAGAACCTTCTAGCTGACCAAACGATTAGCGTTTTGTATTTCTAAATCATATGTAATTTTCATTATGATTACAAACTCACTAATCAAATACCCAGTCTTAAGGCAACAACGTTTTGCAGTATTTTCCAATCAAGTACTTTTGTAATCAGTTTTATATTTATAAGAATACTGATTCATGCCAACTCTATGCAGTTTAAAAATATGACGAACAATTTTTCGTAACGTTTGCAGAATAAAATCAAATAGATTTCTGTGATGCCGTGAGAATTTGTTTTGATCACAATCTTCCAATGGCGCCATGAACGTGTCTGGTTCGAGCCAACACTCATGCAGTTTTCCATCTTTGCGCTGTAATGCCACTGAGTTATGTCCTGCTTAAATGGTATCCTAGGTAAACAAGCAAACGAACATTGTGAATTAGTAGTATGACTCGGTGCAATGCCTGGTATGGGTACTATCTGCTGCAATGTCGGTGACAGCTCTAATTTTATAGTGATTATTCGAAGTGCTTTTCCGTTATAAAGTATTTCTGTGATGCAGTGACCACGCATTTCGCTCTATCCACAACCCTGCCTATAACCGCAAAATCTGAAAATACATTTTTCAAACAAATACATTCGTTTGCACCAACACTGTTGTACAAAATAATTTACAAAGGTATCGCTTAATAATACACTATCTCGAATGTAGCTTTAATGTTCATTAACATTTTTTTTAGGGAAGCTGGCACTGTGAACGTACGATTCCACAAAGAGTATAATTTTGTCATACCAGCAGTTTAACTCCCAAAAATATGCTTTAGAATTATCCCTACAACTAGTCTGAATTTCCAGGTAAATTTTCTCGAAATTGACAGAAGCGTGATACTGGGAAAGATGACGCTGCAGGTCGCTCTCCGCTTTCGATATAGGAATAATGACCTGCACTTATTTCATCTATATGATCGTTGGTGTCCAGATGATGTACGTTAAACACCGCTTTCCTGCTGTCATTTTCAAAATAATGATGATGCCATTGGCAGCACTGACTTAAGCACAAGAGCTTCAATATGGCTCATATATTTACAATTGTTACATATATCGGCGACAATTCAAGAAAATAAGCAGTAAATTTAGGATAAAAGAAAAGATCTACTCAACAATTGTAATGGAGAAGAAAAGCTATTCTACAATTCATGAAAATAACGCAGGGAACGGGTCATTTTTTTCCAGACTTTTTTATGCCACTCTGTGATCCCAGAGGCCCTTTCGTTGCCTGTTGCGCAAGTTCTTTGAGGGCCTTCTTTTCTTCTTGTTGCTTTTTCTTGAATTCCATGTCTTCTTCGCTAAGTTCTTTTGGTGTCTTTTTCGCCTGTTTTAGAGGCTTCTTTTTTCCTCCTAAAAAGAGTAATGTAGCTAAAGAATTCAAGTTTTACATCCTTCACTAAGATATACCTGCCCGACTTGCCATCTTGATTTAAAGTTATTATCAGCACGTCAAATATTGGAGCAATAAGCACAAACTGGGAATCCCTAAAATTCAAATATTAAATAATAGTTTATACACTTTGGACACTGCAGCTTTTCGCAACAACGGAAAGTAATCTACGACAGATGTTGCGGAATGAGGTCCTTCTGAAGCATTACTGCTTTAAAGAGGTTCGAGAAGAATCTAAACATGACAATACAAAATACCCTCATTTATGAACCGCTTCTATTCCAAAAAAAGAAATCACAAACGCAATCATTTAGGTATATTATCCGAATGCAAGAGAGACAGCGAAACAAATCCCTTACCATAACTACACGTAAGCAACTATTAACATGAGTCAAACACGCAAACTTCCTTCCACTGCTTTGGTATGTAATTTAACATGTGGAGCTGTTTCATTAGCGAAGAATCCAAAATTCTTTAAGCTGCAACTTTTGCAACTAATAAAGAACAGAAAACATTGAAATAGAATCGATAAAAAATGTAGAAAAGTAGTTAAAAGCTTAAGACTTCATAAAAACGCGTAAGAAACTATTTAAAAAGCCGATTCAGATGCCTTTGAAGCAGTTTCGCAACTTTCAAATAAGACAGCAGAATAATCAAGGAAGCTAATTCCGCCGCTGCAATTCCCAAGCCCAGATCGGAAAGGAAAAGGATTACGGACCACGGCAAGTTGGCCGGTAAAACTCTACCATTTATCACCACCACCCCTCAACCTTTGGGGTTTTGAAACTTCATAACGGCTCAGTCGACGTTCGGATTACAAGTGCTTCGATCATCGTTGTTCAGTAACTAAGGCAGGCTGGGAAAAGTCGGCGATCAGAACCTGCTCATCGCCGTCTGGCAGTTGAAGATGTAGAAGCATGGAAAACATTGCCGGAGATAGATGACGAAGATATCAGAGAGCAACAGATGCGCTAAGTCATCTGAACGGAGGAGGCAGACGACAGTGCAGTGCCATTACAGTACGTTAGATACAGCTCCACGGGAACGGCACCGACAGTTGAAATGTAGGAAATTGGAACATCTCATTCATATAAAAAGAGCAAGTTTCAGTCGATGAGGCCATAAGGAATCAACTCGGCATACTCGGACTCTCACCAACGAAGCTCCGAGGCCGTAGAATTCTGAATTTCTGCGGGTGGAAGCTATTCTACTCAATTGTAACCATCATGACAGGCAGTGATGGTGTTCTGATAGAACTCAACATAGCTCACAAAATCACTGATGAAAGCCTATCAAGGAAAGAGTGACAATCCACCGACTGAAGCTACAACAGGCTAAAGCGTGGACCTTGTTACCGGTTTA